CCCAGAGCGGACAATATCACGTGGGCGGCTCCCTAGTGCAGTTACCGGTCCAACAGAAACAATTTTGGATTCAAGACGACGTCCAAAATGTTTAAAGCAGAAGCTTGCGATGGCAGCGTCTGTTTTTTATATTTCGCAGGAGTGAAATAGGCGTATCTTTGCTGAGGAAAGCCGCACAACTTTGCAACTTATCAAAGTTATTCATGATTCTATTTCAATTCGTGCGGAGTGGATAACGAGGCGGCCTGTGAGAAGTGTCGATTGGTATGGTGGATCGTGTCTGGGATTGGGGGGCTTCTTTGTGTTGGTTGCTCCTCTATTTTATTTTTTGTAGCTTGTTTGAGTCTATTGGGCTTTGTTCCTTTTGGCTTGTTGTGGCTTGGTATGGGGTGTTGGCCAAGTCTTTCGGGTTTTATACCTTGTAGGTAGTGGTCAAACTTTGTCTGTCCGCTGTTCCTTTTTTCCTGGTTTATAAAATTACCTAGTTTCCTTTAAAAAAAAACTAGGATATCATCAAGATAAACAACTATAAACTTGTTTAAGAAGGGACGAAATACCTCATTCGTGAGCACTATAAACAAGCAGGGAGCATTGTAGAGACCAAAAGGCATCGCCATCCACTCATAAAAACCCTGCTTAGTTTTGAACGCAATTTTCCATCAATCACCTTCAGGAATCCGCATTTGATGTATCCACTCCGAAGATCAATTTTGGAGAAAATTATAGTACTGTGTAATTCATTCAACATATCCTCCAATAAAGGCATGGGAAAACGATATTTGATAGTTATATTGTTCACTACCCTAGAATTAATGCACATCTACCATGTTCCATCTTTCTTTGGAACTAATAAATTTGGAATCGCATAAGGGCTTATACTCCCTAACGTAGCTCTTTTTAATTCGATTCTTTATGTTGATCCTTCTCTCTCATTGATTTGATCAATGATCCCTTTTATCTATCGAAGTATAGTATTTCTGTTATTCAGTTTCAGCAACCATCGCTGAGCTTGTTCAGTTCTCGCTGTACATGTATTGTAATTCCTTCAGAGACTATTATAGTTTAAGAAGACAAAACTCACACCACAGGTCCTTCAACAATGTCGAAGACAAAAACTTAAGATTATAGACAACAAGTTTGTGATCTAAAGCGACATTCAGTGATTACAAGCTCGTCAACATATGTGTGAAGTCTGCACAAGTTTAGCAAATACTGAAGAGACCTTTCAGCATCATTCTAGTATTCAACGATCAAATGAAACTTACCAAACACGATTGTTTTTGTCTTGTCCTCTCTCACACAAAAGACAAACCCATACCTTTTTCTAGAGTACAGTACAGTACGGAGCCACTCCGTTAACTCTATAGTGCTTACCTAATTTATGAAAAGAGGATGCTCATATACAACCAAAAGGACTGTTTACTGTAGCAAAGGACAAGCTTTCCTCCAAAAGCTTGATATGTGCTTTGTACCTTCTGAATTGTATTTAATGCAATGGGTATAAATAGTTGAGTGCTCTCCTCTCAGTTATCAATCTTCCTTATTACTAACTTACCCAATAAGTTAATTTTCTCACTACTCTCTGTCTAAGAGAAAGAACCACTTTGAACAAGTGAAGAGCACTTTGATTCTTATATTTATTTCTTGTAGCAAATATTTTCTTTTCGGTATTTGTATTGTGTGTATCTTAGATTGTTTAGATAGGTCCTTTACCTTATCTCTTACGCAAATAATCTGTAAATTTTTTATTGATCTTCTTTATCAATATATAATTTTTAAAAATGAAAGTTTATGTGTTTATATTTATCCCCCCTTCTACAAACTGATTACCTATAACTCTTGTAGATCTGGCTGGGACCAACAAGTGGTATCAGAGCAACGTTTGCTTTTTGTATTATTTTATTGTTTTATTGGTATTTTATTATCTCCTCTTCTTTAGATAATTTATTCCAAATAAAATATTTTGCAAAACACTATGTTGGTCCCGTTAGGGTCTACAAGATGTGTATAATAGTTTGTGGAAGGGGGAAATGGATACAAACAAAGTAAACTTTTCAAATTTAAAATATATATGGATAAAAAAAGATGAATACAGACTTTTCAAGATTGTTTGAGGAAAGATAAGGTAAAGATAACCTATCTAATCAATCTAAGTTACACACTAGTTCTTAGCAAAGAGAAATGATTTTCTATTTAAGACTAGAAGAAAGTAAGTTCTTTCTGAGTAAGAACTATTTAGAAAACTGAAAAGGGATTCTAACTTGCTTTTGAAGATAGCATATTGTGTTCTTAGATGTGTGTTCTTTTACTTATGAACATGAGTTAGGGTTCAAGAGTAAGTATCAATATCTCTGCATGGAGATAAAACACATCTATTTATACCCATTGTATTAAATGCACATTTAATGCAATGCATTAGGATTTGAACACGTGTCAAGCCTTGAGAGAAGGACTTGTCCTTTGCTACAGTGAATAGTACAAAAACCTATTCATGAGCATACATCCTTTCATGGAGTTGGTGGGTAGTTGAGTCAACCAATCGGCTCTATACCGTACTATGCTCTAGAAAGGGTATGGGTTTGTCCTATGTATATATAAGGACAAGACAAAAACAATCGTGCACAACAAACTTGTTTTGATCGCTGAATGCTGGAATGACTTGAAGGTCTCTTCAACAGTTGCTGAGGCTTGGGTAGTCTTCACACATACGTAGACTATGTTGTAATCACTAAATACCGCTTCAGATCAAGAACTCGCCAGTCTCTAATATTCAGTTTCAGTCTTCTACTTTTGCTGAAGGTTCTTTGGTGTGAGTTTTGTCTTTTTGAAGTATCGCTGTCGCTGATGGATTTACATTACATGTTCTCAGCGATCACTGAACAGACTCAGTGATAATCACTGGAACTGAAAGACAGAAACATAAATACTTTGTATATAGTAAAAGGGATTATCATCAAATCACTGAGAGAGAGGATCAACAATCTCCCCCAATTTGATGATAACAAGTCAACATAAAGAAAGTTGTTTTATCAAATAATAGTAAGGAAAAGTTAACATTGAAAGTACATGTCCCTTTTAACTGTTTTGGGATCTTTTTCAGTGAGTCAGTCTTTACTTAGAAAATTTTCTTAAGTTTAAGTCTATAAAAAATTAAAAGAAGGAAAACTGAAACTGAAAGTATATATTCAATGACTTATAGATTGTCAGTGAATGAAAAAGTAACACTGGAACTCATAGACTTGTGTCCCTATTAGTCTTTTGAGGGATCTTTTTCAGTGATGCACACAAATACTTATATTAATTTCAAAGCAAATATTACAAGTCTCCAGTACATGTCAAATACTTACAAGATATAAGAATAATCATTGAAAGTAGACATAGAATATAGTTTATACAGTGAAAGAACGAAGTACAAAAGAAATAACTAATCTAAGTTTTTCAGATTAATGTAACCAGATACATCTTCTCCGAGCTCCTTTTGACGTCGAAATTCCTTTCTAATCCTGATGTTCATCACTTCACCGTATATGTCATCATTCAGCCAATAATGGATGTGTGCAAGAATTTCATTGGGCAGAGATGCAACTCAGACATTCTTTGAAAGCTGACTTCGCCATTATAGTCAATGCAAATAAATCCTATCTTAGGCTTCATATGCACAGTGTTGGGTATATAGGGACCCTTCGTTGGCAATGGGAGATTCATCATAGAGATGTCTGGCTTCTTCGAAGCCTTCAGGACTTCATCTAAGGAGAAATTTGTTTCATGTTCATTCCTCAGGGATGGTCCATCATTAGGGCGTGAAGGTCTTTTTCTTCTTCCTCCTTTCTTCATCGTAGGCACTTCAAGGACTACGACATATCTTGACACTTTCTTGATCAACTCATTGATAAGGTCTTTGATAATCGTCTTATGTCTGGACTTGGAGCGCTGAATGGATTTTAGGATCTCCACCCATTCGGTATAGCCGTATTCGCCAAGATAGGAGGGGTACTCGGTCACGGCCTTGAGATTATCCCTAGTGATGAGCATGGAGAGCAGCATCCCATCATCTTTTGATCGTTCGTTGATGCTGACGCTCTTGATTGGTGCAGACTGATCCTCTTATTAATGCTTGCTTTGCTCCAGTGCTTGTCCCGCTCAGCCAACTTCAGGTTCTTCTCGCGTTCAGCTTCTGCAATAGATCGAAGCTTAGCCTAGGCCTAGACAGCGGTCACCTTCTTTTTGGAATTTATCTCGGGAAGAACTTTGGCGGCAAGGGACTTGGCCAACTTTAAGTTGTCCTCAGTCTGCTTCCTTTGAAGATCCAGTTCTACCTCGGCCTTGAGGGCCTCGAGTCTTTCAGCTTTAGTCTGGAAGTCGAACTCACCATAACTAGAGGTACAAAGAGGGATTTTTACTCTAGTTTGGTCGAGTGACTCCCTGAGCTAAGTCATCGGCTGGTCGGTAGGAGTGCTGGGGGTTGTGTTCTCAGGGACCCATTCCAGCCGACCGCAGGTAGTAGAGGGTATCTCGAGTTGATACAGAGAAGTGATGACTACCTGAGATGAGGAGTCTTCGTATAAGGGTTGAGAAGTTTGGAATAGTACCTTTAGATTCCCTTCTTTAGCGACACCTTTGTCCTTAGACTTGGTGCCCTGGTGCTTTTCCTAAGCAGCCTCTTTCACCCCTTGCTCACCCTGGGATGCGGAATCCCTGAAGGCGACACCTTTCGTGGCACCGGAAGGTCTCTGGTACTGAATCATGAAGTCGTCGTCATCATCGTCATCATCGTCCAGGTCCTTGCCAGCGTTAGGAAAGTCGGGGGACTCATCGTCATCATCATCATCATCATCATCATCATCCAGATCACCAGCTTCAGCTGCAGAGGTGACTGGAGGATCATCGTCACGAGCTTTAGCTTAGGGGCATCAACATCCTCAGCTACGGGAGCTTCACAAGAAGTTGGAGAGTCATCAGCAACAGCAGCCGCTTCAGCTATAAGAGCTTCAGCCTAAACTTTAGTCTCTGGAACAGCAGCAACATTGGAAGGACTAGCTTCAATCGCTATCTCCCCCTCTTTAACTATTGTTTTAGAGCAATAGACGAAGAAGTGGTTGACTGTGCGAATGTAGAACTTCATCAGCTTCTCGAGCTTGGTCAGAGCACGGGCAATAATGACATTGGCCTCACGTGCTTGATGTAGCTGTTCACGGTCATCAGCAGTGAACGACGGTTCAGCTGCCAGGATTGGTTGTTGAAGAGTAGCCAATATCTGCTTCATGACCTCTGTCTGCGGGGAAAGGTGTGAGTTTTCTTCATCGGCCTTACTTGTTAAAGCAACTATGGCCTCAGCATTGGCTTGAATTGCCACTTGCATGACGGAGAGTTGATTCTGGACCTCATGAACTTCAGCCGTAACGACTGAGAGGACAACAACTACTTTGTCCCATTGGGGCATGCCCATATGGACTCGTTCATTTTGTTAAGGAAAATCTCAACTGCTAGGAGGATCATCTTTACATCTTCAGCCATGTCATAGGAGTCTCCCATGGCTGGTTCAACAAAAGGACCTGTAAAAGATGGAAAGTGAGCATAAGTGAGCTCGAGGTTAGATGAAACGAAAGGATAGGAAAATGGAATATATGAGGGATAATCAACGTTATTAGAAGGATTAACGCTGGTGCACTCCATGGTGCAATCGAAAGGATGAGCACCAGTTTGCTGAGGAGCCTCAAGAAGACCTACCTTAGGTCCAGTGGTGAGTGTAGCGGCAGCAGCGCTGATATTCACACCTTCAGTGATTTGAGTTACTGAGGCGGTTGGGAAAGTTGCCACTGATACGGCAGCGATAACAGGAATCACTGAAGAGCTTGGATGGCAAACTGAAGGTTCCTCGGGGGTAAGGCTCTTTTCAATAACTGAGACCTTTTGAGAGGTCACTGCCAGATATGTGGTTATCCCCTTTTCGGCCTTTTTGGCTCTCTGAGGAGAACCAGGAGTTGGTTGAGCTAGGCGTTTGGAAGAAAGGGTTGTGGTGGTTGGGTTAGACTTAGGGGAGTTTGCCTTTGTCTTGACCACCGAAGAAGAAGAAGAAAAAGAAGAAGAAACAAAAAGAAGAAGAAGGAAGAATAGAAGAGTGTTGCACTACAGTAGACAGTGCAACAACTCCATCCCTCAGCTTGTGATCCAGAATCCTGGATCCAAGCTTTCAGACAGGAAGGTTACCTTCCTTGGAGTATTTTTCGCCAAATATCTTGGCGAAAACCATCGAGAGAAAATGGGTGTATGGAACCACTTTCTTCCTCTGGCGCTTGTTGAGCTTCAGTGTCAGGTCTTCAAAGATCACCGTAACATAGTTGATGGGTCGACGGCAGATGACTGACACGCCGATAGTGAGAGCGACCCGTGATGCTTGATCTTGACCTCCAGTCTTTCCAACCATGCTCTAGATGAAGTGAGGGAAGAGGTATCGCCACACCGCTGATGTACGGTTCTTTTCAATCTTTAACAGAGATTTGAGCGGCTCGCCGGAGTCTTTCTTCAAATGCCATTGGTAGCCCATGTCATCAAGGCATGCGATGATGGTCACAGTCGAAGGGTCGTTGACGAACGGACCCTTGGGGAAGTGAAGAGCGTGCCTGAGAGTGGCTACGCCAAAGCTTATGGTCATCTTGTTAAAGGTGAAAGAGATTTTCTCCACCTTTTGACTATTCTTGTCCTCTTCTTGCACTACCTCAACAGTCATCCAGAACAGTTGAAGAGCCTCCCTAACCGTGACAGGTTCATGGTTGAGAGCGTATGCTATGGGGGACATCTTGAGGAAGGTAGCACCATCCTCGTAAATGGTCTTGTTGGTAGGAATGTCCAACAAGGCAACGTGGTTGTTATTCTTGAAGGATATGTCTTCAATGGAGAAGCACGTTCTTGGAAGCCATTGTCTGTTATAGATTTAAGAAACATGAAATAACAGTTGTTAGTAGTCCAAGATTTGTTGTGATCTTTTTAAGTTTTAGGACAATAAAACTTCTTTTGAAAAATCCTCAAATAAGATATTAGGGTTTTTCAAGTAGATTTATGTTTTGAAACAAGATTATAACCAAGAATAAAATGTGTTATTAATCTTTTGGTTTGTGTTTTAAGAGAACACGGTTCTTAAAATCTCAAAAATTTGTTTCATAGCAAGGAGAAGAATAGTTCTAAGTATAAAGAATAAGTATCGACCTTAGAGTTGTTTGAGAAGAAGTTCGAAGGATTCGAGAGTTCTTAGAGTTCTTGCTTGCAAAGTCCTTTTGGCAGAGGTTCGTCAAAGATTTTTCTAAGTGTCAAGGAAATATGAGAGGAAGAGTCTCATATTTATAGATAGAAGGAGAGAGAAAAGAAATAGGAGAGAGGAAAATACGACTGATGAGGAAACACCATGATGAAAGATATGGCATATTCTCATCCATAATTGGATGGAAGTTGAAGGAGGTCGCGTGTATCAGACTTTTACACGTGTCTCAAAGCATATCATATTGAAAACAGAGAATGTTGTCATAAAGACGGTTCATTCACTATTTCTTTTAAAACATTTAAGGTTTTAAGAAATTCATAGAGTCACGTTTAGTGATATGATGATCACTCAATAAAAAACCTTTTTAAAACATTTTGTTTACTAAAGAAGAAAAGCTTTAGTGATGGTTTTGTTTTAAGAACTAAAAATAACTTAGAAGAGTATATTTCCATAAAAAAACTTCAGTGCCAGTGATAAGAGAATCACTGAAACGGACATTTTAAAACATTTGAATCACTGAAGGTAGAAAGATTCAGTGATTATTTTGATTTTAAGAAAGAATAAGTATAAAAGAGATACACTTACATAAAAATGTTCAGTGAACGAAAGAATCACTGAAATAAACTTTTAAAATGTTTTGATCACTGAAGAAAGAGAAGCTTAAGTGATAGTTTTAAGTTTTTAGGAAAGAACAAGTATACTTACCTTAGAGAGAGTAGATACAATTAATCAAGAGTTCTGTGATAGAGGTAGAGCACTGAATCATTTCACTTACTGATGGATGTGTATAGCTGAAGAAATTATTCTTCAGCGTTTAGCATCCCTAGTTCGCTGATCAAGATGTTAAATTTTGTCTCATCAAGAGGCTTGGTGAAAAGGTCAGCGAGCTGATAACCAGTTGGAACAAAGTAAAGTTCAATATCACCATTCATAACATGATCCTCATAAAATGATATCTGATCTCTATATGTTTGGTCTTGGAGTGAAGTACAGGGTTGTTTGCGATTGCAATAGCACTGGTGCTATCACAATAGATAGGAATCTTTGAGAACTAAAGATCGTAGTCCTTCAGCTGGTTTTTCATCCAAAGAACATGGGCACAATAACTTCCAGCGGCTACATATTCAGCTTCAGCGGTTGATGTGGACATTGAGTCTTGCTTCTCACTTGTCCAACTCACCAACTTTCCACCTAGAAGCTGACAGCCTCCATCAGTGCTTTTCCTATCGATCTTGCAACTTGCAAAATTACTATCCGAATAACATATTAGGTCAAAACTTGAACCATTAGGGTACCAGAGACCCAAGTTAAAAGTTCCCTTTAGGGATCTAAAGATGCGTTTTACAGCGGTCAGATGGGATTCCTTAGGTTCAGATTGATATCGTGCACATAAGCAAGTAGAATACATGATATCTGGTCGACTAGCTATGAATTCAGCAAGGAGCCGTTCATTCCTCTATAAACAATTATGTTTACAGGCTTTCCATTTGGATCCTTGTTAAGAGAGAGTGGAGGAGCCATTGGAGTCTTCATAGATGAGCTATTAGATAGATCAAACTTCTTCAGCATGTCACGGACATACTTACTTTGACTGATAAAGATGCCTTTATTTGATTGCTTGATCTGGAGACCTAAAAAGGTTAGTTCTCCCATCATACTCATCTTGTATTCTTTCTTCATGCGATCAGCAAATCAAAAACACAAAGAGGGATTAGTGGAGCCAAAAATAATATCATCGACATAAAGTTAGATTAGAATGATATAACCTTTAACTTTCCTAATAAATAAGATCTGTTCAATCTTTCCACGAACAAATTTCTCAGAGCTAAGAATTGAGGAGAATGTATCATACTAGGCACGAGGAGCCTGTTTCAACCCATTGGTTAATATACCAAAAACCTCTGGTATATCCTTTTCCGTTACCTCCAAAGGTCACAGAAGGTCCTCTTTCTTCCTTGTAGTTAATAAGCAGGGATTTTTCTTCGGTCATGTGTCTTGAGCATCCACTATCGAGATACCATATGCCTTTGACTTCTTGCACAAGGGAACAATTTTAAAATGCTTTTGCTATCCATCTATTTGGGTCTAGCAATGTTAGAGGCTTCATCTACTGAAACTAAAGAACTAGTGTCAGCAGAGGGCTTTACTGAACCTGGAGAGGTTTTAGTAGAAATGGGAACAACCTCTGATGCTTGAGAGATAGAGTCAGTAGGTGTCTTCACTAAGGCTGATGAAGAGGCTTCAGTGGTGAGAACTACAACATTTGATACTAAAGGTTTAGTATCAGTAGTTATCTTCACTAAGCCTGAAGAAGAGGCTCTAGTCATTTTCTTCACCTTGGTTACTTTAACAGCCTTAGTGGATGATTTCACTTTGGTTGATTTCTCAGCTTTAGGTAATTTCTTGTACTTAGCTGGTGGACCAGACTTGACGGCAGAAGGATACTTACTGGCAATGTGTGTAGTTTAACCACGGTGCTTACACTTCCTATAGCTGAAGGTAGATTTAGGGCCAGGACATACCAAATTCGAAGAGGAACCAACTCCAAGAATTCCTTTTCTCATTAGGTCTAGGAGGAAATTTTGAGGATTTGGAGTCCTTAGGTGAAGCATTCACCTTGAGCTGAGACTTAGATTTATGGGAAGGTTCAAATTTCTTAGTCCCTGAAGAAGAAAAAAAAGGTTTACAAGCTGAAGGAATAGATTTAGGTATATATGAGTTGTTAGTCTTCTTGGAAATAGGAGCTATGACAATGGATTTACCCTTATCTTTGCAACCTGAACTCGAAGGAGTTCCATCAAGATGACTCTCAGCGAAAGAATATTGAGAGGAAGAAGTGTCAGGAATAGAAGAGAAAAAGGTACCAAACTAGAGCATGGACCTATCAGTGACACTGTCTTCCTGATCATAGGAGAATCCTAGACCAGTCTTTATCTTGGCAGGGATCTGGGCGTTAATGATCTCTGAGGCCTTGACAAAGGCTTTGCACTATCTTTCTATGGTAGCCTTCTCAGCCCTGAGTTCATCAATTGCTTGCTCACACTCAGCTATAGCCCATTCGTGTTCGACAGTGATGGTTTGGTTCATAATGACCTGATCCTTAAGATCTTCCACGATCTTAGTTAGCTCTTTGATCTTTGAATAACAAATCTTCAACTGTTCATGAAGGTCAAGATTAAACATTTCTGCTT